ATCAACCGTTAGTTATAGTTCCATCCATCAAAATCAAAAAGTAGCAGAGTAGAAATGATCCTTCTAAGTAATTGCCCTGCCCCCATTAGAGAATTCTATTGATTTTCAAGCACGTATTTCATTCAGATTTTAGAAGCTTTAATGTGGCAAAGGATATTTTTAATGTGGAATCCTTGGTGCTCTCTGTGTTTGATTGTTTGCTTGCAGGCATTTCATTACCCAACTAGATAACATCATCAGTGTGGATGAGTGTAGGGTTTTCTCCCTGTTTATATACTGGCTTGCCCTGCCAGTTTTAATGGGGCATGGTTTTCTCCTTGGTAGTTCCTTGATTAGGGTATTGTTTTCTGCTTGATTGTTTGCCTGGTGTTAATCCCTGGTATCTGGGTGTTGGCTGCTGGAGAGGATGTGTTCTGGTCTTTTTGTTTCCTTCTCAGCCTTTTTATTGTCTGTTTTGAATGGTGTGTAAATATGGTTTATTTCTATGTGTCTATTGATGGCTGATCTGTCTGAATGCCAAGCTTCTGGGAATTCTCTAGCATTTTTGGAGTTAGTTTGGCCTAGGATACTCACAGTTTTCCAATTAAAACTCAACCAAAACTATGGTTGAGGCTGTCCATCTATTGTGAGATATTTTTAATGTCATGGTATTGACTATGCTGAATCCATTTGTGTTCTACATTTATTTTAGTGGGTTTTAGCATTCTTCATTATAGTTTTATGAAGATAGTAGGGGCAACATTTTCTTACATTAATAATTTAGACATGCTTCATGGAATTTTACTTCTGCTCTAGATGCAGCACAAAGTCTCCCACTCCTTTTTATGGACTTCCTGAAACATTGTTGGGTCTGCTAGAGAACAACTCTTCCCAATTGCTTGAATGTAAAGTGTCTTTTAATATGCATCCAAATCTAGGTATTAATTTCAGGGCTTTTTCGATGCAGCAAGACTTTGTATTGCATTGATATTGTGGGCATCTGCTTTTACTACTGTTAAGCAAGTTTTAAAATTATTAGCTTATCTAAGAGAGGGTAGTTAACCTGATGCCTTCACATGTTTTGAATGAAAATTCTCGGAAGCTATAAAGATAATTGAAGTCCAAAATATCATGAAGCCCCCAATTGCCTCATCAACATGATATTTAAACAAATTTTACCCTGCATCTTGAAGAAAAGCAAAATAATCTTGATATAAAATCCAAACTGTAAGAAGAAAGTAAGGAAATGAATGTGAGTATGAATTTTTCTTAAGTATTTCCTGAATATTTTTTCTAAAATATTTAAATAACTCATGTATATTTTAAGCATTCAGGCTTTAATTTTTAATAACAGAATAATATCAAATCTGTTTTTCAACAGATAAATCCCAGCTATGATGTAACAAATATGCAAATATTTGACCCTCCTGTTGTAAATATTACTTCATCACCTTCTTTTTCTCCATTATCACAGGTAAGTTTCAAGCTATACAACTTTGTCCAAAGCTATTAAAAATCCAGTACAAGTTAAGATTTAGAGAGCTGACATGGTTATACAGCCTCTGTGCCTGACAATTTCCTTTTTTAATTGAAATGAAATTACAAGTTCATGAATTAAGTTTTATGAGTTATATAAATGAGTAGTAGAAAGCATTTTCTTTTTGTTCAAGAAGTTTTTCTACTGCCAGTATTGTGACACTGATTTTATTTCTCAGTAAGCTTCAGATGTAAAAGTATCTCGTACTCTATCAGAAGAGGATAAGGAATCTGAGTACTGCAGTAAGAGGCAGACTGGGTCTTCTTACAGGCAAACAGAGACATTTCCACTCCAGTCACACACAGCCATGCCTACACACACAGTAGCATTTCTTCAGCCACTGATAATGAAAACATGGTAGTTTTAATCACTGATATGTGTTAGTTTAATAGCACATTAGTGGTTGTGGAAGGAAGTAAAGGGCTCCATGAGCTGAAACAATGTGTTTCTTAGGATTTGAATGAATAAATTATAGCCACTGCTCATTTAGTGACTGTCTCAGTTAGCAACCATTAGCAAATATGATGGTAAAAAAAATTTAATTTTGCAACCAACGTGAGCATTTACAACTTTCGCAGCATCTCTCTCTCTCTCTCTCTCCCCCTCTCAGTCACATGTTTGCTATTACAGTTAGTGTTGCATATAACCTCTTATTTTCATTTGCTTATTTACTTGTTTATGCGCATTTATAACCCGTACCAAGATGTCTTCAAGAACCCCAGTTCAGCTGAAGGAAGTGGCAAGAAACAAAGGAAAGCCCTTGATCTCAGTTTGAAGATGAAGATCATCAAAGCATATGATGCTGGGAAGAAGGTAAATATTATAGCATGAGAAGAAGGCCTGGCCCATTCCACCATCTCCACTATTTTGCAGGATGAGGAAAGGATCAGAGAGGCAATGAAAGGATTACCAGGAATGAAAGCAGTTACAACAAGACAGAAAAAAGGCCTCATCCACGAAACGGAAAAACTCCTTATACTTTGGATCAAAGATCAGATACAAAAGAGGATGCCAATTGGCCTTCTTATCATTTAGATTAAGGCACACAGCATTTTCAAAACACTGAAGGAATGAGTAGTTGAGTGCATGGAAACATTCACTGCCAGTCGTAGCTGTTTTATGTGGTTTCAGCAAAGATTTCATTACCACAACACACACACAAGAGGTGAAGCTGCAAGTGCTGACAAAGAAGCTGCCAAACGTTTTCTGGATGAACTTGATATCATAGCAGAAGGGAACTATTTGCCTGTACAGATATTCAGTGTGGACAAAACTGGGTCATACTGGAAAAAAATGCCAGAGTGGACCTACATACACAAAGAGACCAAAGCAATGCCTGGGTGTAAACCATTTAAGGATAGAGTAACCTTGCTATTGGGCAGAAATGTCACCGGATTCAAGTTGAAGCCATTTCTGATCCACAGATCAGATCACCCCCATGTGTTCAAAAACATAAGCAAGCACACACTGCCCATTTATTACAAATCCAATTGGAAGGCTTAGATGACACAAATCCTATTCAAGGATTGGTTTATGAATTGTTTCATACCCCAAGTAAAGGAATATTGCTTGAAAAAAAGAATTCCTTTTAAAATTCTCCTGCTCCTCAACAACATACCTGGACATCCCCTTCATCTCAGTGATCTCCACTCAGATATAAAGGTAGCTTATCTACCAAAAAACACCACCCCTCTCCTACAGCCTATGGATCAGAGAGTTTTTTCAACATTCAAGGCATACTATTTGCCAAAGCTGTAGCTACGACGGAGGATAAGAGAGTAACATTGCACAAGTTTTGGAAAGGCTACATTATCCTCCATTGTATCAAAAATATCGCAGCAACATGGCAGGATGTTAGTGTGAAATGCATGCAAGGGATTTGGAAAAAGTGTTTAAAACATGTTGCTGTTCTTGTAAATAATACTGAAGGATTTGACCAAAACAAAAATTTGGATGAAATAAGAAAATTTTGACACTCATGAAATCCCTTGATTTAGAAAGTGATGCTGAAGATATGAAAAAAATTGATAACCTACACTGAGAGAGCTTTCAAACGAAGATTTAATTGAATTGGAAGCACAAAGGATTGTGGAAGAAGAAAAAATAGTACAAGTTGAGCCCCAAAAGTTCAGTGTGAAAAGATTGGCTGGTGTTTTCTCAGACAGTAACAAAATTTTATCACGATTAGAAAGTATGGATCCAAATGTTTTGGAAAGGTACATCAGGAAATACGTGAAACCTTAAAAGTGTTATCATGAAATATATGAAGAAAAAAAGAAAACATGCAAACCAAACTTAGTGGGTTCTTTAAGAAAGTTACTCCTTCTTCAATTCCACATCCTTCCCCATCGCCCTCCCCATCCACAGGAATAGAAGACCCAGACAGTCCTCAGCTGTTGACGTTTATGGGTACCATAATTGTAAAATCTGTTTTTGTACTCTTTATTTTGGTAATGCAATATAATTATGCCTCATTTTGTACATAATAAACTAACTTTAAATACACTGAGTTTCCATTTATCCTTTTTGTTTTGATTTAGGCTATTTGTAAGAGAGAGAGAGAGAGAGAGAGAATTTATTTATTTATTTATTTCTGTATTTCTGTATTTATTTATTTGCAAATGGCCTAAAGCAATATGCATACAGTATTAAACCAAAGCTTTAAAAAATGTTCATAAGTTTTAAACTGTCATAATGACATGCCAAGTTTTAAAGGGCAATAAATTATTATAGTATATTTTTATGGCAAAAATATGTTAGAATCAAAGAGATCTTTTAAATAGAATGTACCAAATTTTAAACATGTCCTGAAGTATATGAAGAAGGATGAAACAAGGATAAAAGAAATTAAGTATGGAAAGCTGAATAAAGTCATAAGCACAGTTGCAGTCACACCTAGGCTACTGTGATTTTCACTTAGTGACCATTTCGCTTAACTGGGCGTTGGAACAGAATGCAGTTGCTAAACGAGGGGTGGGTGTAGTTACAAGAATTCATATAAATACATTCTCCCTAATTTGGGAAGAGTGCTTGTTCAGTTCTAGAGTTGGTTGTAAGAAAAAAATCTGTTAGGTGTTCTTTATACAATTCAAGGTTCTACACTGGACCTTATTGTATAGGAACTCCTCAGGAAAAATTAGTATGCTGTGCTGTTAGATATTATAGCTGAAATATGTCTAAATAATAAATTTAAATAATTTAACATTTTCCTTGAATCAAAGAGTCTTTTGAATAAATAATTTACAATTGTCCCATTTTCATACACGCTTTATATTAGTTTACCTTGATCTGAATTGTTATGTATCTTAGAACTAATGTTAAAAATTTCCCTTTTTCCTTCCATAAATGCTTTCAGAAATAGCATTTGCGGAGGAGTTTTCCTTTTGCTGCACTTTTCACTAAAACCCTTGTTGGCTCAAAATTACTTGTCAGGCAAATTATTTATTAACTGCTAGTTATACATTTGGAAATAACTGTGTACTAAATATTTCCTCACCTTCTGATACTTAGGCTTCTGAAATGTATTGATACAGTTAATAACTATATAATAACTATATAGATATGATATTTTAAAGCATCAGTATATTATCAAGTTCTTATTACATAATCTTTGTAAATCAAAACCATCCGCAGATGTTATATCTTATATGAAATGTGATGTAAAAAAGTTATTCTTAACCAAGTACTCTGTGTATTTGAACATCTGTTTTAAAATTTCCTGCATAAAGAATTCCTTAGCACAATTTACGTCTCATGCAGTGTTCTGCTGAATATTTATCACTAAGTTTTACAAGATAATTCTTGGGCTACCAGCCATGTACTGGAAAACACTTTTTTACTCTATTTTATTATTTATATATCACTTTCTATGAGAGCCAGTTTGGTGTAGTGATTAAGGCACCAGGCTAGAAACCAGGAGACCAGAGTTCTAGTCCCACCTTAGGCATGAAGCCAGCTGGGTGACCTTGGGTCAGTCACTCTCTCTCAGCCCTAGGAAGGAGGCAGTGGCAAAGCACTTCTGAAACCTTGCCCTGAAAACTGCAGGGACTTGTCCAGGCCGTCACTAAGAGTCAGGATTGACTTGAAGGCACACACACACACACAAATCACTTCCTATATGATCACATCTCCAAATGAACTACAATAAAATTATTCGACTACAAAAAGCAATAAATAGGTATTCCTGGTGATAATTTGGGCTTCCAAGTGATGATGTTAGGAGTAGTTTTTTGTTTGTTTTTGTTTTTGCTTTTGTTCTAGAGAACACAGTTCTATTTAGAACAGGCAAATTCAACAGTTCCCATAACAAGCAACTGCCTATCCGTAGAATTTATTCTCAGTTTATTGACATTCAACCCATCGCTGCATCCAGACACTGGTGCAGAACATGTACATCATAATTTGATTTGCTTTTAACGATATGGGCAGTGACGAATTTGATATATAAATAAAAAATAAATAAATAAAATTCAGATGTTAATGAGTAGTAGAGCTGAGCATTATTGGGATATTAATGCAACTTGGCTCCAAAACTCTTCTGTGACCAATCATGATCTGACAGTCCAAACTGATTGAATCCAAACTGATTAATTGAATGAAGAAAATGAAGCTGAGGGATCTCACTCACTCAGTCTCCAACTTCCATATCAAATATTTTGAATTAGGAGATATGATAAGACAGAAATTTGCAATTTCCCAGGAAAAAAGATAATGTTTATAAAAATTTTAGGCCCCTCATGTCCGAAGAAGAGCATAATAAGTATACTGACCAAGACTGGTGTTAGGTACTCTTGACCACAGAGACTCACTTGGACCTCCAGTGACAATGATACCTCTTGGAGTACCCTCCAACTACATGTTCTAAGGGAATTCTCATTAGAACTAGTAAATTCCCCACTTCTTGTATTTGGGAAGTACATCTCAGTTTATTTCCCCTC